TGGATTTCCAAAAGTCGATCGACTCGCTGCCCAGGTCTTTGATCAGCAGGTCCTTGCCTCCGGGGTGTAACTCGAGATACTGGCTTATGTCGTAGACGATGCCGTCAATGGCCATGTAGAGGCCGCTACTAGGGTTATCGTGCCAGCTAAGCATGCGCAGGGTCATGGGCAGGGTGTAGTTCCGGACGCAGCCCTTGAACCCTTCAGTAAACGCGCATTTGTAAGGGAAGAGCCGAGAGAGCAAGTCCTTCCGTACGTCATCTGCTTCAGGGAGCTTGACGATGGATCCAGGGGTGTTAAGGAGTCGTTCACGTTCCTCCCGGGACCCAAAAGTGAAGGTTGTTACGTCGTAGATGTCGATGCCGATGGTGATCCACCGCCGCATACCGTTCTCGCCATTGTACTCTGCAATTTCCTGCCGCTTCCTCCGCATAAGAAGTTTTCCGATGGGGTGGATTGTGTTGCCAAACTCTCTACGAATGGTCTCGGCATGCTCGTGGCCATCGGTTCTCAGTAATGGGCCGTTTGGCCCGATAATCATCAGCTGCTTTCGGATGCCTTCGGGCGTGGTATAGCCCAGTTCATGACATATCTTGGTGATTCGGTACACATCATAGCCAAAATCACCGTCCGGCTCAATAACCCAGATGGAGTCGTTCTAGATGTGGTTGCCGACCTCACTGATGGTGGAATGTCTGAGGAAATCAGCGGGCTGGTCGACCCGCCGAGGATCCCTGATCTCTTTTTCCTCTAAAGATTGTGTGCCAGTCCGTTTGTTAACGGCAAAAGCCGGTGCACCTTGTGGCGGTAACTGGTTGAAGTTCTGTGGATCTAGGGGGGACTCGGAGGTGGACTCATCAGCCGTCCGTCGTCTGACTGGGGTTGAACAATGTCGTAACCCAGGATAATCATATCATCTTGGGTAATGCCGCTGTTTTTGGCCTGGGTCCAGGACGTGTCGTACTCTGGCACTTCAAAGTCGAAGGGTAGCCAGGCGTCTGCGTTCGTGCCTTTTCGATGATGATTCCAGAGCCCTCGCGCAGTATTCAGGCACACAGTCAGCCATTTTACAGGTATTGGGTGGATCTGCGCGTTGGGGTAGAAAATTCTGAAGAAATTTATCATCCTCTCGTAAGGGTGTGCCCACTCAGAAGCCTTTGTGTATTGGACTGGCTGGTACATTGCCAATATCGAAGCTTCCGCACTAATTTTCTGTGGCAGGTAATCTGTGTATTGCATTGCTTGACTCCGCATTTGACTTGGATACAAGTCTTGAAACTTGTGTGGTCCATAATGCCACACATCTTGTGTCAGAAGCGGGATGGATGCAAACATCAAGCTGCTGATGGAAAGAAATAGCCAAGTGGTATGGTGTAAGGCGCAGGTGGTGGGCTGGCTTCTGTCTGGGGAGTACGATGACAACTCCCTTGCGGTATCTAGGTAGTCGCTAAGCCTCTTGTTTGCATGCGCGTCCTTGAATTGAGCGATGAGCCTCCGCGCTTCAACCCAGCTCCACGGGCTCAACGACCAAAGCCTGTACTCGGCTGCGTGTCACGGCCGTATCAGTTCCCAGTACTGTTTCCTGTTCTGCCAATTGATCAAGGCCTGTTTGTAGTACTCTTGCATCTCGGGGGGGCTGTTTTCTATTTGCATGCGCCTACTTGAGTGTATTCTATACCCAATGTACCAGTCTCGTTTTACCAACTCGTTACGGAGGATTCTGGGGGCCTTGAAGGCCGCACTTCCGTGGACCGGTACTACCGCGTCCCAAAAGTGCTGCGTCTGGAGGGCCGATGCCCATGCCACAGGAATCAAGTAGTCCATAGATACCTGAGTTGATGCGACATGGGCGATCGTGGCAGCGGGTAAGTTCCCCAAATCTAAAAAGTGTGGCCATTCGAGAACTGACAGGTGAGTATTGACCCCTCGAAAGATCTCCTCCCCACGGGCGGTTGGGTTTGGGCGGATCAACCCGCCAAAAATAGCCGTTTCAAATGAATCGCCAATCTCGTTGTTCACTTCAGGGTACATGTACTAGTCATGATGATTAAAACTTCGTCCACATCGTGAACATTCGACTTACAGGCTCTTCTCCCCCGGGAATATCTGGTTCCCGTGAAACCCTTGAACGATATGTCGCGTGCTATTCGTCGTGTTAAGCCATCCATTCGTTATATCTTCTGCTGTACGGGGAGTGGGTGCGTACCATGATTTCGTGTAGCATCTGTTGCCAAGAGTGTGTCAGTCGGCTGGAACAGGTCAACCTGCGCTTGAACAGTCATACCACTACCGCGAGGGAGGCTTGTATATTGCATCTTTCCGCCAGTGGTGTCTGCTCGTCGCATAACGCCCGAAGATGGCCAACATGGATCATCGAGGTGATCCAGGACATAGTCGGATCACCTCTCGTATTAGGCGCTCTCATCGAGCCGGTCACACCCAAAGTTTGGAATGGGGTAAAAGTTCCAGCTTCGTCACAGAAGCCCCAAACAGTCGGAATGTTAAGGTCAACCAGCCGCTCGACGATCTCCTCCGCTGAGCGAAGAGGTGTTTGGGCGGCGTCCATTAGCCTTGGATTGTAATCTGGTTCTGTTAACCATATATTACAGACGTCCATGTCAAACCCCGCCCAGGTGAGACTTTTTGCGAATAGAAGCGTATTGATCCTGTCATTAAATCAGCACCTCATATTTCATGCTCATGTTATTAGGAGGTAGTCTTCCGCACCAAGGATTTCTTTCTTGGCAGAGGCGCAGGAGGATCCTGTTGGCCAATTCAATAGATATGCTGACCTGCTCCCATATGATTGGGTTGTCAACGGTTCACCATGGCGTGTCGTGCTCCTCCATTTGTGGAAAAGGGTATCGAATAGTATCAGTGGCACGAGCATGCGCCTTTGCAGGCCTCAGATCATACCACCTGGGCTTTGCAAAAAGATTGAGCCAGGAATCTTCGTTGACGGTGATTCTCCCTTGGATAAAGTCATGCCACCGCTTATCTCCTCCCCACTGAGGAACTCCCTGCCATTTCTCCCAGTGATAGGGTTCCCTTCTCAAAACAGGGAGTTGCCATGACATGACGCCACAAAGGTCTTGAAGCTGTAGGCGCTCACCATAAAACAGCCGGTCCAGCGTGCGATTGTCGGGCTGTGTGACTGGGATTGGGGGAGGTTCAGGGACGAAAGACTCATATTCAATATCTAGTGGTGGGAACTCTGGCGCAAGAGCGGAGTGATATTGACCATCGAGGCGATGCCAGAATGGATGAGTCGACACGTAAAAGTGTTCTGCCCACAGGGACCACGGGCGATAATAGTCTGAAGGATGAGGATTGGCGTCGGATTTTGACGCTGCATGTGGTTGTGGTGGATGTGATGGTGGGCTGAACAATACAGCAGGTGTTGATACCGCCATGTTGAAAAAGATGCGGCATCACTCTTCTCCAAACAGGACACAGACAGGACACAGACAGGAGATGCGCACAAGGCCGAACAAGTTTGCACGAAGAAAATAAGGAGGACGAACAGTACCTATTCCCGCCTAGACACGCGGGACAGGAAGAAGACAAAGGTCACGTCCCTGGCCCTGGGATGTAAACAATGGCGGCCATCGGATTAAGAATGCAGTCTCGGGCCACTTGACCCTGGAATGTGATGTTTGCGGCATGTTTTCGAAGACACTGCCCCCCGTTCGTGCTCGAGTGTATGATACGCGATTCCAAATTCAGACCAAGTCGGTCATAATATTCAGGGCTTGGAGGCTTGATGCAAAGTGTGCTTTATTCATTGCCGTCATCTGGTGATGCTTGGGCACGGCAATGGAAAACTGGAGGAAGGCCGTTAGGTCACAAGCACTGCGTTCGTCATCTTCCCAATTATTACTCCAAAACATTGGCATTTTCAGGAAAGTAAGAAAATTTTTCCCAAAGGACTTGTAACTATAGCGATATATTATAAATTGACTCGACCTCAGGATGAAATTGTTGTGACTTCTGCAGGTCATCACCTACTGAGAAGTTCCTAGTAAAAGAATGCCCCACACAAGCTGAGGTGGTCTAATCGATAAAGCTCCCAAATACGTCACCCTCGCACTACACTACATGGAAACCGAATCTCAGGTTCTGAGGTTGCGACTCTTCAACTCATAACTGCAATTCAGTTGTTGTACGCAATCGCGTCGCCCATTTTCTTTCTTAAGCAATTATACCACCACCCTCTGAACCTGACGTGTGTTCCGCACTGTCGCGAGAATGGCTCCCATATCCGCCGCTGACATTCCCACCCTCAGCTTGCTATACAAGCTCAAGAAGCTCAACGCGTCGCGCCTAGCGCCCGTCCAAGGGGCCACGCCCACCCACAACGACCGAATCGGCCTCATCCGTGGCGACATCACATCCCTCCAAGTAGGCGCCATCGTCAATGCTGCCAACAACAGCCTGCTGGGAGGAGGGGGCGTGGACGGCGCCATCCACCGTGCCGCTGGCCCCAGCCTGCTAGCCGAGTGTCGCACCCTCAATGGCTGTCAAACGGGCTCGTCTAAAATCACTAGCGCTTACAGTTTGCCTTGCAAGAAAGTCATCCATACCGTTGGCCCCATTTACGACGACATCCGCCCCGACAACAGCGAACGCGCCCTGAAGGGGTGCTACACTTCGAGCTTGAACTTAGCTGTGAAGAATGGCCTCAAGACCATTGCTTTCAGTGGAATCAGCACTGGCATCTATGGCTATCCCAGCTTGGACGCCGCGATGGTAGCTTGCGAGACAGTCAAGAATTTCTTGGATAGAGACAAGACTATCGACAAGGTTGTCTTTGTGACGTTTGAGGAGAAGGATGTTCGAGCCTATAATCAAGTCTTGCCGTAAGTGCCTATTTCCCCCTTCAGAGACTAAGGCGTTCTTAAGACGCGCGCAGAGTGAGACTAGAATAATTTGGATTGTCATTGGTTGCTTTGGGATATTCATGTACATATCTTGATGTGGATTGTTATTAACAGAATGCTTTTCAGTCGCTTCTTCCCGCCCAATACAAAAACTTCGACCGAGCAAGAGAAAGCAGCAGAGGAGCAGAAGGCTGAAGCAGAGGCCAAAGTCGGCCAACTTCCCGACGTACCGACGACGGATCCTGCGGATGCCGACTACGTCCAAAAGAAGCAAAAGCATGAAAATAACAAATGATGGATAACCTCTTGATCGAGGACTTATGAAGACATGAAAACATGATAACACGAGGAATGGCAACGAACGACACACCGTTCCCACGGATCTTGGAGTTCTGGTAAAGGATACACCCACTAGGCTATCAGGGAAAAGAAGGGAGATAGTAAACTAATGAGATACTTTTGATACTGGGGATGCAACTGGTTTTGCCTTGCGAAAGGTCATTAATATTTTCGTACTACTAATGAACAGGTACAGTGGGTACAGGTGGCAAAGGGGGCTTGATTTCCTTGAGCGCTCTCAACGAGGCCAAAGCTTCTACCCTCTTCCGAGAATTCAATTGAGGTAGTTTGAATGAGTACGCGGAGATCGGGCATTGAAATACATATGCATTGATGATATTTTAAATGAAGGGAGATTTCTGACTTTCATCGATAACTTCTTCGAACAGCGTCAAATCATCAAACCGATTGCGGCACTCGATTCCTAACGACCGTTTACGTCGGACAGTGACCTCGCATCGCACGCGAAGCGAGGACGCAAGCGATGGCGGCGCCGATGGTGATCGACGGGGGACGGGCGGGACTCGAACAGAGTTTTCACCACCCCCACGCCAACGAAAGTGCCCACGCACCGAACGTGGAGCGCACCAGCAGAAAGAACGCAGAGAGGGAAGGGATCGGAAGAGAACTACAAAAGGTAGAACAAGAGATTGCCGACTTGGTCCCACGTGAGAAGATTGAGGTCATGGGGGGTTTGATGGAGCGTTGGCTGGGGTTGAAACTAGCCGGCAGGACGCTGGAGGAGGGGGGCGACAGACCCGCCACACATGCCGACGTACTGGCAGTGACTCTGGCCCTTGCCGAAATTCCTGCGGCGATCCAGACGATGGTTGAGAAGACCATGCAGGATACGATGAAGAACGTGGCCTTGCCTACAACTCGATCCTGGGCCTCAATCGCCTCAGGATCGGCCCAGGGACGGGGACCCGGTGAAGCCCCAGTGTGGCAGCAGCGGGTTGTAGTGCCCCAGCGAAGGGAGAGAGGTAGTGATCCGGGGGACAGAGGACCCTAATATGAAGAACAGATCGGCGGCTGAGGTCGTAAAAGCGGTGAACAGTGCACGCGGCAGCACCGATGCAGTGGCGGCCCGCAGGCTGCGCAGTGGCGATACCGTAGTGACGTTTAAGCAGTCGGCCTCAGCGGCGACCACGGACAGCAGGTGGGTGCGTAGTGCCTTCGGCGATAAGGCACTTCTCAACCGCAGAGAAGTTGCAGTGATCGCGAAGGGGCTGCCTGCGAAACGGCTGCGAGAGGTCCACGACGAGAGCCAGCTACTTAAAGACCTGAAGCGGGACAATACAAAGCACCTCTCTAAGGCTAAAAGAAACCTCCCCCGGGCGCCGCAAGCACCGTATGCGGCCCTGATACTACACGTGGATAGCGTGGAGGCGGCGATGGAACTATGCTCCGAAGGGCTTATTTGGGAGGCCCAGATATTCGATTGCGAGCCGTACGACGGCAATCTTCGGGTTCGGCAGTGCTACCAGTGCTACGAATACGGCCATATCGCGAAACACTGCAAGAAGACGGCGCGTTGCGGCGTCTGCGCTGCAACGGCACACCCAGGGGGTGAAAAAGACTGCCCCGAGAAGGCACCTAGCGGCAAAAAACGTTGTGTGAACTGCAAAGGGAAGCACACGGCGTGGGACAGGGACTGCCCTACGGCAGAACAGCAGCGGCTACGCGTACGCGAGGCGTACGCTCACCGCCCCCGACAATTTGAGGTCCGCAGCTACTCGGACGGGTTATCTAGTGAGGGCAGGCTCACACCACCTAGCTCATTGACCAGCGACGGGTTTACAGTTGTACGACCCCGGGGCCGCCCCCTGGGCGGATCGCGAGTGGAGCAGGAGCGAACCGAACGGTCTGCGTCAGCAATGCGTAGCTTCCTCACTAAGGGACGTACGAACGAAGATATACCATCGACAGCTTAATGGTAGTCTCTATTCTCTACTGGAATATCGCAGACTCAAAGGCGAACGCAACGCTAGCGCTGGATAAGGGGGGTGACTATGATATAATAGCGGTTCAAGAGCCATGGATCAACCGGCGGACGAAGGCGATTTATT